GGAGGTGGCGGCATCGTGGGCCAAGGCGGGGGCCTGGGCAGTTCTGCACATCAGGGAGAAAGGCGAAGCTGTGCGTTACGTTCATGCAGGACTGGAGCGGGACCAAAGGACAGGGAACCCTCGAGGGGTCTTTTAAATACGAGACGGTAGCATCTAAGGGTGATTGGGGGGCAGGAGAGAATGTGGTTCTTTCCTCGCTGCCCTTGAGTAGCTGTTATCTGTCTCTATCTGCAAAAAAGATGACACCAAAGGGCTCCTGGAAGGGCGGGATGGAGGGGACATCAACAGCTTAGATAACTCATGGAAGTTGTGATTTCTGACTTCAGCTCCAATCTGAAAGAAAACACCCATGTTTGGACACCCCTGGGTTGTAGGATGAACAGCAGGTTCAGGGTAATAGTTCTATCAGCAGAAAGTTCTAGAGCTGGCCCTCAGAGCAGCTCTAACTGTCCCTAAGCCGACGCACCTGGAATGAGATGACTCCTGGCCCCTCAGTCCCTTCTGAAGGCAACTTCTTAATGGGGGGTGGAGGGGGGAAGGGGGACAACAGAAAGTCTGGGTCCGTTCTGGGTCATCCTTCTGGAGTAATCCAGGCCCTGGGGACAGGGTCCCATGGGTGCCCCCTTCCTACTCCTGCGCTTTTCCATCAACCTCTCTTAGGCCCAAACTAACTTCTCTCAAACCCCCACTGCCTGCCTCCTGGGTCCCGCTGCACACTGTCCCACCTCCGAGCCTCCCCTCGGGACCTCTGTCCCCCAAGCCCACCCTCCCCTCCTCGCTGCTGCCTCCCAGCTCTGCTCAGATGTCACGGCGTGGATGACGTGGGCCGACGGGAGAGTCTGTGACAGTGGGATCTGCGAAGGGTGGGTGAGTAGGACGGAGTTTGTGGTTGTCACACGATCTGATCTGTCCTTCCTTCCCTCTGCTCTAGGCCGGTGGCCGTGGTGACGCACTCAGGACAGCTCAGACTCCTGTCTGTCAAATGGAGCCCCAGGGAGGATTGCGAGGGCAGCGAGGGGCGCAGGGGTGGGTCCCCCTGCAAATGTCACACCCCTTCCTGGCTGGCTTCTGGCTTCGATTTCCTGATCTCCTGGATTAAAATGCAGCTGACCTGTAACGCTTGAAGCTTTAACACTTGCTGCCTCAGAAAAGGTCGCTACACAGGGCCCCAGGCCCAGCACAGGGCCTTTCCCGTGGTGAGGGGGTGGGGAGGAGGGCCGCCGGGACAAGCGTGCTGAGAACCCCCGGCACAAACAGACCCTGTGCCCCCGCCCTCTGCCCTCCCCGGGGGGCGCACAGGGGCTGCCCGGGGCCCAGGAGGGCAGGCCGGATCTGGACAGCCTGCAGGCCAGAGTTTCCCATAGGGCCTGGAAGGGGGTGGGTCCCCAGCCGAGGGCCAGCCAGGACCGCCTGGGAGCTTTTGAAAGCAATGAGGCCCGGGTCAGCGGGCAGAGCTGGAGCTGGGAGCTGGGTCCCTGAATCCGTCACTGGTCCCTGGGTGGCCCCACCCTAGAAAAGCCCCTGTCTTAGCAGCTGTAGTTATTGAGCAGCTCCTCTCAAGGAGTTCGGCAGGACCCTCACATTGGGTCAGGCAGGAGGCAGCAGGCCCCCTGCACAGGCAGCCCCGTGCAGACCCCAGACCGCAGAGCCCAGCGTGCCAGGGCCAGCTCCAGCTGCGGCCCCCAGGACCTTGAGTAAGGCGCTTCCTCTTTTGGGGTCTCCATTTCCTTTTGTTACATCAGGGGATTGGATTAGGTCTGGGATGGCCATATTTGTTCCCAGAGTGAAATTCTCTTTCAAGTGAAATCTAAAGCAGGCCCTCAATCTATCAAACCTATGAAAGTGTGGGCTCTACGTGCACATGCTCAGTGGCCCTGGCACAAAATCCGGCATCTGTCCCTCGGGCTGTCACCGCTCCCCTAGAGTCATCCTCGACTCTGTCTCTCCCGCCGCAAAGCCATCCATCAGCACGCCCTGTGCTCCAGCGTCTCACCTCCCCGCTGGCGATCCGTCCCTGCCGCTGCCGCTGCCCTGTGTCCTAGTCACCGCGCTGCAGAGGGGGCTTCCCTGCGTCTGCTTCTGTTCCCCTGCCATCTGTCCTCAGTACAGCCCAAAACTCAATCAGGCCACTCCTCTGTGCAACACGCCCCCACCCCGTGGCCCTTGGCTTCCCCCACGGGACCCTCGTTCATCTGTCATCATCTCCCACACTCCACTCCAGCCTCCCGACCTCACAGTCCCCCGCGGGCCAACCGCCAACCCCCGGGTCTTGTCTCACTCTGCCCACTTCCTTCAGGCCTCCGATGGATGCCATCTCCTTGGAGAGGACTTACTGCCGTGACCACCTGCTTCAGAACAGCCCCTCTGGGTTCCCCACAGCCCTTGCCTTGAATTTCCATTTCTTCTCCTGGGAATGTCAGCTACAAGGGGGCACGGTCTTGGTTAAACGCTGGGTCCCACCCCCACCTAACGCAGCCGCTATTTGTTGAATGAACCTCGGATGAATCAGCAGAACCCTGACCGGAGCGGGAAAGAGGGTCTGCGCCCCAGGTACAGGGCAAGCCGCCTGCACTTTCTTTGTCCCCAGCTTGCCAAGATCCCCACGCTCCTATTAAAGGGGACCAGCACCCGGTGACGGGATCCTAGTCCCTGGGGGGTGAGGGCGGGAAGCACCCCCTAGTTGTCTCAGTATCATTCCCCACCACTGGGGAGGAGGCGCTTTGGGAAGCCCCCTGGAGAGCTGAGCTCAGCTGCAGACCAGGGCCTGGCCAGGTGTTGGGTGGGGGGCGGGGGGAGGGGTCATAGACGATTGCGCCTCATCTTCGGGCGCCGCACCACAGGCTGCACCTGACCACCGCCTTCTGGTACTTGGCAGTGAAGAAGGGTGGGCTCCCGAGGGGAGAGCAGGGGTTCAACTGGTAGGAGTTAGAAGGGGGCGCACTGCAACTCAAGTTCTGCAAGTCCTTTCTCAGGCCACCTGCCTGTCGGAAGGGCTGCCACAGGCGGGCAAGCTCTCTGTCACAGGAGGTCTGCAAGGGCCTTTCGGGAATGTTGTCAAAGGGGCTCCTGTACCTGGTGCAAGGTTAACTGACCTACGATCTAGGAACCCTTCCACCCCGAAAGGTCCTTAAATAAAACAACATTTTCAGCAACAAGCTAGGATTCATCGAACACTTAGGATGTGCCGGGCACCGTTCTGAGAAGGCCTGAGCAGGTGTGTTAACCCTGAGGTCTCTTGTTCAAGGTTAAACAGCCAGTAAACAGAAAGGTGTCATTCAACAAATGATAATAGTAATAATAACAATGACTATTAAGAGTTTACCCAAAGGCCAACGTGCAAAACACTTTCTATGCATTATCTCATTTAATCCTCAAAGCAACTGCAAAGGGCACTTGTTATTACTCATCCTCATTTTATAGTCAGTAAACTGAGGCACAGAGAGGTTCAATAACTGGTCCAGCAATGAACAAAGAGGAAGTGGGTCAAGCTAAGTCATCCCTGGGAGAAAAATGGGAAGTTGGAGAGGTCAGGACTCTGGCCCCTCACCTCCCTTTCCTCCTGGGGAACCTGCTCCTTGCCAGCCCCACCCAGCAACATTGGGTGTGTCGGATACTTGCCCCTGGGGACCCCTTCCCCAATGGAATCCCCAGTTCCTCCCACTGGGTGGCATTTATCTTTCCAGAAGTCACTTCCAAGGGAAAGGATGCAGGCAGAATTTTGCCACTGGGATGACAATGGGGCACTGAGACATGGAGGGAAGCAATCAGATCTAGATGTATCATTTAAGGGCCCCTCCAAGCCACCCCACCCACCAGAGTGGGAGCCAGTCACCTCCAGCCGCGCCCCCCCACACCCCCAACTTGGCACTGCACAAGATCCACCCAACCCTCCTGTCTTACAGAGCCTACAACTGGGGCCCTGGGAGCTGAGGTCACTGAGCTAGGCCAGGCAGCAGCTGCGTGTCCATCACAGTAGGCCCAGGACTTTTAAACCAAAAAGCTGGGACTGGCGCTCCTAGAGCTGTCCGTCAACTTTGGCACCCAGAAAGGTTCTAAGGGTTTTTCCCAAGAATCTGCCGGCGAACTGGAGCCTCCTCAGCCCCCTGAAGCTTTCCCCGAGACGCTCGCTGGGCTGAGGGAGGCGAGGGTAGCTTTCCCGCGGAGTGCGCCCAGAGCCCTGTCCCAAAGCGTAGGTTGCGACGTGGTGAAACTAGACACTCCAGACCCGGTTCCCAAACAGGTTCGGCTTCACGCACTCCGATCTGAGCCTGCTCCCCGGAGACGCCGCGAGCCACGCTCAGCCCGCGGGCTCCCTGGTCCCTCCCCAAGAACCAGGCTTGGGAAAGGCCGGTCCGAAGGTCACCGTCCCCGGTCCCGCCGGAGGAGCGGGGTAGGGGCTCCCGGTGGCGCCTCGGTCTAGGCGGGCTGGTTATTGTTGCGCCGCGAGCGCCCAAAGTTGCGGGGACAGGCGCCCCCACCCCGCGGCATGCCGGGCGCCAGCGACTCCGGGCGCCCTGGGAGGCAGGCGGAGCCGTGGGTGCGGGAAGCCGGCAGGGCCGGGACCGCCTGTGTTTGCATCCAAAGTTCAGGCGGGACAGGAGTCCGGGGATGGGCCACGTCCACACAGCCCCTCCACCCCGGTTCTGACAGGTAGAGACGCCCTTCTTGCACCCGCGCTCCAGGCTCCCGAAGGTACCGGCTGATTTTCCAGCGAGCCACGTCTGGACTGCAAAGTTCGGCCGAGTCTCTGAGCCCCGCAGAGTCACCAGAGCCGCCCCCTTCCGCGCAGAACCGAGGGTCCGGCCTCGGCCGAAACCAGGGGCTCCGTCTCAGCCCGGCCCGCCGAGGTCCCGCGGCCGCAGCCGCTGCCGCTCCGGGAGCGGGAAGCCCGAGAACTCTCAGGGGCAGGGGCGGGGGCGGGTGCGGGGTGGGGCGGACAGGACGCGGCCGAGCGGGAACCGGGGACACCCGGGAGGAGGGGGCTCCGGCCTCGGACTTACCCCGCGGGGTCCTCGCGAGCGGGCGCCCCGGCCCGTCGGATCATGCCGCCGGCCGCTCGCAGACGGTGGACGGAAGGGCTCAGGCGCCGGGCGGCGCGGGCCGCGGTGGCCCGGGCGCCCGCATGCGGCGAGCGCTGGCCCTCGGGAAGGGCCCGGCGGGCGCCGCCGCGCGCCAAGTGGGAAGCCGCCGCGCTCTGGGGCGCCCGCTCCCTTCTACTTCCTGTATCGGAGCGTTCGGGGCTTTCAGGAAGAGGCTGGCCTTGGTGGTCAAGGGGTTTTTTTTTGTTGTTGTTGTTGTTGTTGTTGTTTTGTCAAAAGCCTTTCCGCGGCCGCTCACGGCCCGGAGCCCTCTCGGGGCGCACGGAAACCCCGCGGCCGCGCCCCCGGGGCTGGGCCTGGCGGCGGGCGGTGCCAGGCGGGGGCGCCAGGCGCGGGCGCCCAACCGCGAGCTCTGCCCGGCGGGCTGGTGCTGCGGCGGCGGCTGCGGCCCAGGAGGCTGCCGGGGAGCCTGGAGGGAAACTCCGGGGAGCGTCCCCAACTTGGCGAAGGGTCGTGTGGCAAGGAAGGCGCTTCCCGCTCCTGCTCGCCCGGGCCGCGGACCCGCAGGTGGGGAGGCCGAGAGCTCCGCGCCGCGCACTCGCGCGGGACGGGGAGCCACGGCCTTGCCTCCCTCCCTCAGAGTCCCCGGATCGCCCACGGGCAGCCTCAGACAAGAAGAACAGCCTCTTCCACATCCCTGACAGGTGGCCACGCCGCCTCCTCTTGGATGCCTCTATTGACGATGAACTCACTATCTTACAAGGCAGTCTGTTTACCCGCCAAGCCAGGGACCTAATTCTTCTGTTCTAGTAGCACACCTAGATGGGAGCAGAGGGAGGAAGCCAGTCGGCACCTCTCGTGGGACGAGAGGCCTCTAGTGTAAGTGCCTGGTGGCTCAAAATTGCCTCCTGAGCAGAGCCTGCTCTCAGAGCGTTTCTGTGACTGGGCAGTACTGGACACTAGAAGTCACCTCAGTCTAATGCAAGGTTTCCCAGCCTAGTCACTGTTGACATTTGGGGATAGATGATGCTTTGCTGTTGGAGCTGTCCTGTGCCTTGTAGGATATTTAGCAGCATTCATGGCTCTGCCCACCAGACATCAGTAGCATCACTCTCTCCTTGTAATAGCCAAGAATTTCTCCAGACGTTTTAAAGGTCGCTAGGAGGTCAAAGCTGCCCTAGTTAAGACCCACTGATCAACACCTTCATTGCCTAGGTAAGGAAACAGACTAAAAGAGAGGTGGTGGCCACAGCGCCTGAGACCACACAGCAAGTCAAGGTGCAGGCAGGACGGGAGTCCGTGGCTCTGGCAGAACCCTGGCGGGGCCCTCAGCCTCTGCCCTGAGCTTCTCCCCTCACATGTTCCTCCCTGGCTCTCCTGACAGCTCCACCAACTCAGCCTGGCAGGAGTTTGAAATACAGCCCAAGTGCAGCTCCTAGTAGAAGTGTAAAACGGTGCTGCGGCTTTGGGGAACAGTCTGGCATTTCCTCAGAAGGCGAAACATGACCCAGCAATTCCACTCCCAGGTATCTACCCAAAAGAAGATAAAATATATGTTCACCCCCAAATTTGTACACGAGTGTCTATAGCAATATTATTCATAATAGCCAAAAAGTGGAAACAACGCAAATGTCCATCAGTTAATGAACTCATAAATGTGGTATATCCATACAATGGAATATTATTAGGCCATAAAAAGGGATGACACACGAATTCATGCTACAACATGGATGAGCCTGGAAAATACTGTGTTAAAGAAGCCAGTCACAGGGGACCACATGTTGTAGGATTCCATTCCTATGCAATGTTCAGGGTAGGCAAATCCATATGGACAGCCCACTGGCGGCTGCCAGAGGCTGGGAGGAGAGGGGAGAATGGGGGGTGGCTGCTAAAGGTTACAGGGCTTCTTTTGGGGGAGAAGAAAATGTTCTAACACTGATTTTGCAACGGTTGCGAAACTTCGTGGCTATGCTAAAAACATTGAGTTGTACACTTCAAATGGGTGAATTGTATCTCAAAGTATTATTTTTTAAAAATACAGCCTCCAGGAGGCCACTCTGACTGCTCCAGCCACCCCACTTCCTCCTCTGCTCGGATTCCTGTAGACCCCGCATCGGTTCATAACCATGGCCCGTGGACCTTTCCCCTCCTCCAGAGGCTAAGCTGTCTCCTCCCTGGATGGGAATCATCTTCTCCAAAGGCCCCTTGATAGAACTGTAGCTCCCTGTTTGAAAACACAGACTTTAACGACAAACTTGTATTAAATTTAACCCCAGGGGATTCTGGCTAGGTGGCCTCGGGCAAGTCACTTCCTAGTGCCGCAGCCTGCTCATCTGTAAAAGTGATAAGAACAAGAGGGGTAGCAAGAAGGCCCCCACTCCAGGATGGCATTATTAATCCTTTGCTATTGCTAAAACAAGTCCATAGTTCATTCTCAGGCCAACCTGGGTCCCAGGGACAAAAATCTATCCAACTGTAGTACCTAGAACAGTCCCTTCAGGCCCTCCTAGGCTGATGTGAGCTGTAACCTCTCTTTACATTTCATCCCCAAAGAGAGGTTTCGTTTAGCTCCCTGGACCACTGCTAAGAAACTCAGGACAAGCCCCTCAAAGCCTGGGTTCCCTGGGACCAGCCCCAAGGCTCTCTCTTGCCTTGTCCCCAAGAGGACTCCATGAGCCTTCTGCTCATCTGCTCTGGGAAGATGGAATTCCTTAGTGAGGACACCAATGAAGCCCCCACACCTGACCCTGTTCCTATGAAGGGGTTCAGAACGAGTCACCCCAGATTATTTCAAGGTAAAGGCAACTGAGACCCTGCGGGTTCAAGAGAAACTTCTGCCCCACCCCAAGTTACCTTAGAAGGATTTCAATCAGAGGTCTTGCCCATAGTAAGAGATTATCAGACATAATTTTTTAACTATCTGTAGGGCAAGGCAAACATTTAATTACTGAACATCTGCCCTTCCTCTCATCCAGTAATGGCCTTCACCTCTGAAGCCTCAAGATGATCCTTAGCTCAGAATGTCATATAAACCTCATTCTACTTTCACGGAGCGGGGAATAAACACGAGTCGTTGCAAACACCTCTCTGTTTTCCAGGAGAGGAGGCATGGCTCTTCCCTCTAGTGGAGAAGGCCCCGAGCCCCTTTGTCCAAAGGCTTTTATTGAAAGGGTTATCAGTGGGGCCAGGTAGGAGGAATGTCCAGGTAATGTCATTACATCAGTACGTTAATGTTTACAGAGAATAGATGATGTTTTGAAGAAAACAAATGGCAGGAACATACCGATTTACACGGGTCTGAGAGGAGACTAGTAAACAGGAGAGCGTACACATGAGAAAGCCAAAGGATATAGGGTTGGGGTCTGTGAATAATGCAAATTTCCTTTGAGGGAGGAACAAAGCGTGCTCTAAAGAATTTACCTCTAGGCCTGATTTCCCCTGGGAACCGCCAGATCCGGTGTAGGGCTGTCTCCAGTATTGTTTCGACCCTGAGCCAGGCAGGGGGAGGGAGCCACCAAGAAACAAGGAGACTTCTTTCAGGTAGAATGAGGACCCCGGCCATGTCCAAGACGAGCCAAGGGGCATGGGTCTTTTTGCCCTTTCTCCGCGTCCCCCAGGTTTTTGTCCTGCTCCCCATTTCGGCCGTGTCTGGCTCAGGTTGTCCCTTTTTTTTGAGGGATCTTACCCATCATTGACGACCAGCCATCACAGTGCCAAGCAGGGTGATGTGAGGGAGGCAGGGGCTGTGCCCCTGCCAGGGGGACAGGTTTCTTGTCCCCAGTGGCCTGTTTTCCCAAGGCCTCCTTGCTTAGCTCCAGCCTTGGGGCCCTCTCGCCTGTCGGTGGGGCCACAGTTTCTGAAACTGGACAGGGCATTTTCCAACAGAGTGACATCCTGAGAGGCCGAGATTCTGATAGCCTTCAAGCCAGCTGTACCATTAGACATCTTAGTTACTGAAACCAATACAGTCCTTTTATTTTCTTCTTTGAAAACTCAAATACGATGTGAATCAGGTTTCTGTTAGTTGTCACCCAAAGGGCCCAGAGTCCATGATGGCAGCCCCTCCCCTCATCCTCCCTTCCTTGGTGGGTCCAGAGGACGTCCAGTTGTGGCAGGACCATAGGAAGGAAGAGGTAAACCCTTCAACTTATTGCCTCAACACAGAGGAGGCTGGTTCGCATCTCGGGGGTCGTCAGGGGGTGGTTCTCACCTCCACGCACTCCTCAGCCTCTTTCTTCCCCCACAAAGGTGAGGGCAAATAGACCCCTGAGGAGGAGTGTGGGACTTTTCAGGGGCAGGTCACTTTTAGGAGGTCAACTCCCAGTCTCACTGGAATTTCTGGAGATAGTTAATGAAGAGAAAAGTCTCACAATGTAGTCTTGCTTTTCAAAACCTCCCCCAACCTGCTCTGAGTAGGATGAGAGCCTTTGAGAAAACAGAGCATGTTCATTCAACAGAAATTTCCCTACTGTGTAGAGAAGTCAATGAGAACAGGGGCTTGAGTCAGACTGCCAGGGTTCAAATCCCAGCCCTTGCACTTGGTGGCTGGGTAGCCTTAGACAAGCTACTTCACCTCTCTGTGCCTCAGTTTCCTCATCTGTGAGATGGGATAATCATAGTGCCTACCTCACAGGGCTGCTGTGAGTGTTGCGCGAGCTAATATAGGTAAGGGGTTCAGAACAGAGCCCGGCATGTAGTAAGTGCTCGGTAAGTATTAGCCATGATTTGTACCAGGCCTAAGGCCCTTGGTGTTTCAGTCAGATCTCATAGGAAACAAATGGCACTTCTGATCAGGATAATTTGAGGAGAGGTTAATAAATGTGTACGTAGGGAAGTACAAGGGAAGTACAGTTAACCTCAGATCTGTTACCCTTCTTGGCCCAAAGATGAGGAGAGGGGAGGTTACCGGACCCAGAAACAGAGTCCTGTCTTGTACAAACGCCACCAGGGCAGAGTTGCAGGACAGGCACCCCGTATCCAGGGACACAGCAGCTCAAGGTGACCCTGAGGAAGGAAAACAAATACCCTGGCTCGCCTCCCTCCCTCCCGTCGCTTGCAGCGGCCCCCACTGGCCAAAGCCATCTGGAACTGGGAAGCTTGGGAGCCCGTTGGTCAGTCCCCATGGCCGTGGAGTCCCTGTGGGTCAGCCTCTTGGGATGCGGAAAGGGCTGGGGGGAGTGGCGGGGGGCGAAGCTGTGGAATCAGACAAATTGGGTTCAAGTCTTACCTGGCCTCTGGCCAGGAGCCTTTGGCAAATCCACAGAGGGAAGCCATCTTGGCTCCTCCAGGCCCGCCCATTCACCAGCTAA